CGTTTCACATGAAATTCCATCCCCAACAGAATCCATGGATCATTTCCCTTTAGGGAAACCAAATCAAAACAAAACAAGACAAGCCACACTTTCCAATTTTGCAGCCAGAATGTATCAAAGGGATGTTTTCTTAGAAGAAAAGAAAAATCAATAGGCATATATTCTGCAGCACATGAATCACAAAACCCTGAATTTCCAGTTTTCTACCACCTCTCAATGTCCTGCAAGGGATATTTGTCATTGTCACAATTATTAGACTCTTCAAATAGAGACATGTTCCAGAACCCTCCAGGAGATAGGTTTCAATAGCACTTTAGGCAGTTTACACGACCCGCTTCCCACTCAGCCGGGGAAAAGGCCCTCAGCTCACTGAGGGTTGCTGAAGGGAAGGGGCGTTCTGCGTCTTTTGGTAACCTAATTGGCTTCCATTTTGCCCTACCCCACAGTAGATAATATCCCTCACAAATGGCCTTGTCTGTTTTCATTCCACTCTCCTCTTTTTCTGTTCCTTTCCTCCTGATTTTTGCAGTTTCCTTGCTTCCTACATGTATCTCTCTGCTTACATTTTTGCAGCAGAAAACAAGAGAATATGATTTAGAAGTGGTGAATACGAATTGGCAAAGAAATACTATTCAAATGTCTTTCTTTTGTCCAACTTCTTTGTGAAGGGCAAAATACACATTCAACAGAAGTTGTATGGGTGATACGTAGTATTAATAGGAATGTTTTTCTCCGATTATGTTTATATCACTATTTAGGGAATGTATAAAATGAGAGACTTATCTCCTGTTTGTAACTTTACTAGGAAAACACACAGTTTATCTAACATCGTAAGATTAGAGCAAAAAATACCAAATTATAGCTAAGTTCTCTGTATAAGCTATATGAACTGATTTACGGAGCCGGAAGTTTGGATTAGGCAATGGACTCCATGTTGTAATGTAAAATTCCAAGGGGATTTTTACAATTTTTCCAATCCATTACAAGTGCAGAAGGTATATGTTTTACTTCACAACTTTTGCTTTCTATTTTCGTGTGTGTGTAACAATGCACTTAATATGTGTTGTGTAAATGTGTAAATATATGTATAAATTGGCAATGGGCAATTGAAGTTTTGGAAGACCTCTGAATAAGAGTATCTTCTGTACCTAAAATATTATTTTTAGCCATATCAAATAAGACCTCTAACAATGTTCTCTTTTCAAGATTCTTGAAAGGTAATTTTCAATTTGGCATAAGCTTTGGCTATTTACAGATTTGTCATAATTAACACTTGGGCTTAATCAGGGTCTTTTCTAAAGCTATAGATAGATCCCCATCTCTGACTATTGATCATAGTGAGGTTAATAATTAACCACACAGCAGAAAGCATTTTCATTTGTTTTAATCTAAGTTCATCATTCTCCTCAGGGTCAGTTATCCACGTGAGTGGCACCACAACCTGCTAGTCTGTGGGATTTGTGGAAGACACAGCACTACCTGTAAAGCATTTTCTGAACAATACTTGTCTTGGCATCCAGAGGTAAGTCTCTCAAGGTGTGCTGCAAGAACCACATGGGGAAAGGTAGATTATAATGCGTAAGGCTCTATTTTTCCCTCATATGAAAAGCAGGAATAAGATCTTTATCTTAATTTCTTGGCAAGATGTTTGCTGAGGGATTGTGAATTTTCAAAATTCTCTTTGTATAAATAATTACTACTGATTTCAAAATCATTTCAGCTGTCACCATGATAACCCTTGGTAAAACAAAAAATCTTAACACAATAAATGCAATAGCAAGGGCCAATATGGGGAGAAAAGGCTACCTATAACTAATACCAGGAAAATATAAAATGTTGACCAATGATGGACAAATATTAGTTTAACGCTGCCGCTTACTAGCTGTAAGACTTCAGGTGAATTTCTTAACTATGACACACCATATTTTTTCTTATTTGAAAAACTTGGGTAATCATAACCTACTCAGCAACGTTTCTGTGTGGATGAAAGCCTAGACTATATTTCACAATCAGTAAAGTATAGCTGTCATTATTACTGTTATTATTATTATTACATTGGAAATGTAGAATTTGACCAAAATGACAAGTCTTTACCCTAGCTTGTTAGAATCCTTTGGATTGTAGACACACACTGCAGGGACAGTTTTAGTTCAAATTTCAGATTTTCTACTTGGGCTGAAAATGCCCGTTGATAGTAGCATAAGAAGAATTTTGGTTACTACAGAATTAACTTCCATAGAATCTGCAAAGTCTAGGGAAAATAAATCTGCACATGAGCTTGAATATCTCTGATCTTCCATGACAAGGTAAAGGTAGGAAAACTACTAAGTATCACTTGCCGAGTGGTAAAATGGAGAAGAAATGGTGATGAGATGGCTAAATCTACGCCAATTCAGGATAAATCAAAGAATGCGCTGCTTTGTCACAACCGTGGGCCTGACACTCAGACCTAAGTTTGAATCTCAGTTTACCCACCTAGACACGGGATGCTAAGGAAGTAACAACTTCAGCAATGAGTCTGTTTCCTTCTTGCAAAGCACATTCCCACAAAGCTTTTTTTGAAGTGCTACTGGGAGGATCAAATGAGACAACATCATTGAAGATGCTATTTAATATTGGTGAGTTTTTTTCTTTTTTCCCATAGAAATGCTTGTGGGCTACTGTGCAAGTTTATAAATAACATGTTTCAAAAAAGTAAGGTGAAAATAAACAATGGTGCCTGGGCGGGGGGTATGCCCATTCAGCCAAAGACTCCTTGATAATTAAGGAGGAAATTAAAATTCCATATTTAGCTAACAAACATTAAAGAAAGATAAAGGTAGTACTGAGCAGCCCCTAGATTGTGTTGTCTTTTCCTCATTTCCAAGTCAAACGAATTACTAAGGACAACAGAACCATTCTGTTATTTCACAGTAATAATGAGGAGCCCCACTGCAAATCGTGGAATATCCCTGATTAATCACTAAATAAAGAAGTCCCATTAAAAAAAAAAAGACACATAACAGTGATGAGATATAGGAGGTGGTATGTTCATTCTGTAACTGCAGCTGAATTTTAATTATTTTGGATAATCCTTTATTCCACATATATGAATGCTCTTTAATGCATTTGAGGTAATATCAGACGGCCTCACCATTTCCATGTCTCCCTGGAATTATCTAAATACTGAACGAGTCCATTAAGAAATCTGGATGATGGGTTTATATTAACATATGCCACATTCATATTTTAAAATGGTTTTCACTATCTTCTCATTTTCCTTTTAGGTTTTGATCATTCCTCAAACTCAGGCATGCCACAATTACCATCGAGTAAAGTCACATGAGTTCAGCAAGGAAGGAAGCAGGCACAACACTATTAATTGGTTCTCGTACACTCTATTCGCAATCAACAATGATCACAATCGCTGAGGCAATCATGTGATCATCTGCTGTGCCTGTTAAAATGGCAGCAATAAGTAGTTCAGCTGTCCTCAGACTATTCAGTTTTACATAAGTATACACTGACTCTCCAGCAGACCAAGGGTGTTCAAATGAGATAGTCAGAAACAAAAGCCACGTTTGCACATGCAAGAAAGCAAGCCATTATTCTAGAACCCAGAGCACTCTAACCCACCTTACAAGGTTATCATAGAAATACCTTACCTATGTCTGATCCACTAACATAAACTTATTTGATAGTAAATAACGTATTCTTGAAGAAAAGGCCCCAAATTCAATTTACATCTCACAGTCGAAGTAAATAAGAAAAGACTGACAAATCTCCCTCCATAAATCCCCACGATTTCATGTTCCTTTGGCCAAATTGGGGAAAAGGCAGAGCAGAAAATGAGGCTTCTGCTCTTAGAAGGCCACATAAATAAATAAAGTTTGTTTTTAAAGTACTCCAGGAGATCAATTATATCAAGGAGATAGGTATGACAGAAATAATATTTGCAGAAAATTAAAGGGGATTAAAATGAAAAAGAGTCAAGTTAATAAAACTTCTTAATCAAAAAATTATTACCTAGTCGTTAATAACACATGGAATAAGGGATCCTGTTTGTTTGAAGAAAGTATAAATTGTCCTCTGAGGATATATATGGTACTAGTGAGCAAAGGAAAACAGATGCTGTTCATTTCAGAATACCTAGTACAGTTATTTCCCAGTTCAGGGTAAAATGAGCAGTTTCAAGGAGAGGAACTTACTACAACTGAGACTATGAGGAGAGAAAGCTTTGGTAGCCATCTATGAGCTATTTCACTTACAGGCTTATATGTCACAACTAGTTGTTGACATTGGCTGGAACAGCTGCTGGAGGATGAGACTACTTGTTTTACCCTCCCTTTCAAAAACTACTTTCTAATGTAGCTTGTTTACATTGGTACTACAAAAGCACTGACTATCGTACTTAGTTTTAATAAAAGGACCTTGATTCTACCCTCTGCCTTATAGATTTTTTTTAAATTTATGGATCTCTTTTAAAATTGCAACATGACATGGATGGATCTAGAGATTATCATACTAAGTAAGTCAGAAAGAGACAAATACCATATGATATCACTTATATGTGGAATCTAAAATATGACACAAATGAACTTATCTACAAAACAGAAACAGACTCACAGATATAGAGAACAGACTTGTGGTTGCCAAGGGGGAGGGGAGGTGGGGGAAGGAGGGATTGGGAGTTTGGGATTAGCAGATGCAAACTATTATATATGGAATGGATAAACAACAAGGTCCTACTGTATAGCACAGGGAACTATATTCAATATCCCGTAATAAACCATAATGGAAAAGAATATGAAAAAGAATATATAATATATAAAAATATATATAATATATATATAAAATATATATATAAAAAACTGAATCACTTTGCTGTACACCAGAAACTAACACAACATTGTAAATCAACTATATTTCAATAAAATAAATTTTTAAAAAACACTAAAATTGCAAAACAAAATACCTTTACTTTTGGCTCTTGCCTTTGATTACAACCTTGAAGTTTACACTCTTCAATTCTTATTAAGACTAGAGCTAGAATTCATACATTTATCTGCACGTTCTAAATTTTCTCCTAAGGTCAATCCTGACCATCAAAATAATGTTTGTTTTACACTGTTTTTGTTGCCTCTTGTAAAAATACTCACAAACAAAGCTTCAGCACTCTGTCACTGACATATATTGAGAGATGTTGTATATTGAGAGTGAACCTACGGATCACTATTTATTCATTGTAGTGATGATATTAAAGACATCACCAGGGATCACCTTAAGAGGACTAATGGGAAACACTTCTTCTGACTCCAAAATGAAGGAAAGCAATGATTCTCATAAACAATTGAGTCGTATTTATTGTCTGGTTACTATTTCTTGTAAATGGTGGTGTGTCTCTCTGCTTTGGCTCTCCATTAACTTAGATACTAGACTTAGGTTTGCTTCAAGCAATTGTGTGTCAACTACACAATACAATATATATGTTGATGTGTTAATTTTATTCCTGAATATATTACTTTCCTATTGTTGCATAATAAATTACCCAAAATATTAGGGCTTAAAAGCAACAAACATTTATTACCTCATAGTGTCTGTGGGTGCAGCTTAGCTGGGTGACTCTGCCCCAAGGTCTCAGACAAGTTTGCGATCAAATTTTGGCCAGGGCTTTCTTTTCAACTAAGGGCTTAAGGAAAGGAGTATCTGCTTCCTTGGAATCACTTACGTGGTTGCTGATAGGATCCAGCACTTCACAAGCTGTTGGACTGAAGTCCTAAGTTTCTGATTGTTCGTCAGAGGACTTGCTCAGTTCCTTGTCAAGGGGCCTTTTCCACATTTCCATTCACATTCATGGCAGACTAAGTGAGCAATAGAGAAAGCAATAAAGAAGATGCAAGTCACTGTCTTTTTGTAACCTAATCTCAGAAGTGATGTCCCATCACTTCTGGTATATTCTATTCAATTAAAAGGAAGCCACCAGGTCCAGCCTACACTCAAAGGGAGGGAATTGCACAAAAGCATGGAGACAAAGAGGTGAGGCCATCGGGGGCCAACTTAGAGACTATTGTTTCTATTATTTTTATTCTTTGTATTATACATACTTCAATAACCTTGCTTATAATGCATACATATATCATATGATAACATGTGGTGTGTCTTTAATAAATGTCTATTGTGTTAGACTGAACAGCCTTGGTCATTCACTTTAACAACTGCAGTAATCATTAATCCATCCACTAAGCACAGATCTGTTTTGGGGACTAGGTACACCATGATTTTTAAAAAGGAAGAAAAAAGTCATGCCTTCAATAGTGGGTGTGGGGAGTCAGCACAGAAAGTGAAATTCTAATCATCATCCATTCAGTCCTTTAAAAATCACTGATTCAGTGCCTACTCTCTGTCAGGCACTCTTCTGGCCGTAAGGTGTTTTGATTCTGTAGGACAGAGTATGGCTCAGGAAGAAGTTGGAGATTAGGTTCTAGGTGAGAATCAGAGATTGGAGGAGGCTATATTTCTGTGTAAATCTCACACAGAAATTTATAATATTTTTTAGTGAAAAGTTTAACGATTTGCTATTTCTTGTCATGACATCTGCATAAATATCATGTACTCTGCAAAAAATGCAGTGTCCAAAGAACCCTCGAGTGAACTTGCCCATGTCAAGGCAGGCACGACTGAATGACCACACCAAAACGCCATGTGCTCAGGAGGGGTGCCATGCAGTTCCTCTTGGGCTCTGGATCATAACAGTTATAGGCTTAAATTGTTTGAACTATTTTTTTTGTTAGACAACTGATATCACACAATTTATCAAAGTGATAGAAGAACTTTTATTTGGTGAGTTGTATTAAAGTACCATGAATACAAAAACGTGCACAAATCATAAGTGTAAAAAAAATTATGTTTTTCTAATATAGAGAATTCAAAACTCTAGGGAGGTGGAATAAACTTTGAAGATTATAATTTTGTATTTTAGAAAGCTGTGATGCAAATAAGTCTAAGGGCCACTTAGTTCATTCACAGCAGCGACAGGGCCACAGTTCCCACCTCATGGCTCCTGCCCCAAGGCCACATCACACCACGTTGTTCTGTAAGAGAAATTATATATATAGAATCTATCTTAAGAGACTCTTAAACATTTTGTTTGTTTATAGTTTAAATATTCAATAGCAAATATTTACATAAGTAATTCTTCATAAGATTAACAATAGTTAAGTATTCAAGTAAATCTTAGAAAATTTCAAGTTGAACAAATTTAAATATATTTTTCTATAGTAAGATTTCTCTGATCCTCTAATATATTAAAACTCAGTGTTAATTTTGCTCACCATCTAAATGTTTATTAATGTGAATTATATTTTTTAATATAAATTCTTTTTGCCTATTGAGGATAAACCCAATCTTGCCTTGGTGTATTTTCTTTTTTAATACACATTGGATTTGATTCTCTAGTTTTCTAATATAAACTATTTTTAGGATTTTTTACACCTATATTGAAAAGTAAAATTGACCTGTAATTTTTCCTTTTACATGGCTTTTTTGGCTTTTGATAGGAAGGTTATGCTTCTTTTGTAGAATGAGTTGGATATTCCCTCTTTTCTAACCATTAAAAAGAGTTTGTTAAATTCAAAGTTAAATAAAGATACTCTGCATTTTGAACATTTGGTAGAACTCGCCTGTAAAACCATCTGATTCTGCTGTTTTATTTGAAAAATTTTATTTTTATCTGTTTTATTTGAAGATTTGAAGACTAGTTTGTTTTAATACTTATAGAATTATTCAAGCTTTAACCCTCTTTAGATCATTTCTACACCTACATTTTCTCAGGAATTTTTCCATTTCATCTCAGATTTCAAAATTGTAGGAATATAGTTGTTGATAGTGTTATTACCTTTTTAATTTCTATTTATAGGAAGAGTCCCTTTTCACTCATAATATTATTTATTTATGTCTTCCTTCTCCTGATCAGTACTGTCAGGGGTTCATCTCCTTTGTGGGATTTTTATTTTCATGTTTTCCAATTCTGGATTCCTGGATCCCTCATCTGACTTTTGCGTTTCTACAATATATTCCACAATTCTAGTCTCTCCTCTTGATTACGAATGCTAGCATCCTGCATGGCCCTCAGTCCCACTTTCTCCCTGGGTTTGGATTTCCCTGATTTGTTTTGGATGAGATACTACCCACTATTGTAGGAATACGCTCTACATATAATCTTAACACCTCTTCCCCTTACACTGAGGAGATTTGGATATCATGTGATAAAAAGTAACCAACTCTCTACTCCACCCTAGTTCTGGTCCTGTAAGCCAATCTTGTCTCAATAAAAAAAATATACACTCAGGATGGAACAAAGCAAGTCTCTGAGTCCCAGGAGCTACTTCCCATCTGCTCCTGGCTCCTCTGTACATCGGTCCCTAACCCTGCCTCTGGAGCTTTGAATTATGTATAATGCCATCACTTGCACCTGGCCAAGGTTCAGACCCTTCCATGCTTCTTCCTGGCCTTTATCCACTTAGCCAGTGTCCAGCCTTGGCTATCCCTGACACTCTCCACCTTGAAAATAGTCTACTCCATTTGCTTCTTGTGTTTTGCCCCCAACTATTTGTGTCTTCAAGGGGGTGTGAGCCACTGAGACAGAGAGAGGAGAAGTCCAGAGAGAAAAAGGGAAATGGATAAGCACTGGAAATGGGTGTCTGAAAAGAGTTCTCCTGACTGAAAATAAAAGCCTGAAGCTGAGGCTTGGGGATTGACTACACTTGATCCCTCATGTCCATTACCCTTTGGAAGATTTAGCAGCTATCATGTCTCCACTTAAAAGTAGGCTGAATAACTCTAATACAAAAAATAGACCTCTTCAATTAAACAATCTTTTGAATTTTTATTAAATATATTTTAAGCAGATTTTCTTTCTGCATCATGTACTTTCTGCCTAATCTCTGACATGCCACTCACTTACATCTAAGAAATATGTGATACGCTATAGCCTGGTGACTGGATAAGCTGCTCCAGCTCTCTGTGTGCCTAGTATTCACTTACAATTTTCTAATGCCTGCACTTCATCATGATGTGGCTTAGCACCCATGTGACAACGAAAGTCAGGCTGTTTATTTCCTTGCCCTTGACATTATTTTGTTAAATGCTGATAGCAGACATAAATATGAAAATGCTCTAACTAAAGTGACTACGATAGCTTATTCTATAATTTTCCCATTTTTCTCCTTTCATAAATTGGCAAAGAATCTCATCAGTCAAAGCCTCGGAAAGAAAATTCTCCAATTCTTTTAAGCTGTTTAACAAAGGCTGTGTCTTTTTTAATCTCCTATGTGGGGATCAATGCTAAAAGGAATAAACAGATTCTCTCCCTGAAGAAAACTGATATCAAATGAACCTAAAAAATCATCTTTGTTCAGTATCAATCATTTGCTTAATTATCACTAACTTCAGAGCTCTTTGAATTAGAGACAAGACCACAATGACACAGAATAGAGAAGGCGCCCTTTATTCCTTGAATTAAGGGCTCTTCTGCTGTCTCTCCCTCTTATTTGACACATCTAACAATCTGGAGGTGAATGTGTTTAATAGGCTTTGTCTGCGAAAAGCTTCATTTCTTTTTTGTGAAGGAAGCTATAGTCTTGGACTTGTCTCCTCATGCATTCCACCTTTTGACAGCACTGAGCCTTTATTTATGAAGGAAGTTTAATTAATGCCCTTGGATGTACTGTTAACCTTTGAAATAGTTTCCTGATGCATGGAGGCCCTTTCTCTCCTGCCAGGAATTGATTTTGGAAATGGCCCTGCCTCTTTGTGGCTTAAGGTTCAGAGAAAGGAAGAGACCATGCAAAGTGTAGCAAGGCAGGGATGAGAGCCTTGTGAAGTGTAGTGATGGAGCATTTGCATCAGTATCTGGAAAATATAGATCAAAAACGTGGGGAATCAACTTCAAAGAAAATGATGGTTCTCTGAAGAGGTTAGAATATCATTCCACTGAAACAGAACCATAGCACTGAAAACAGAAGGCAGGTTTCAAATAAACTAAAGCAAGCCTCTCACATTTCTAGCAAGATAATATAGATTTTTTAAAAATGGCATAGACGATGGAGACACAGAGCGGGGAAGGAAGGACACAACTTTTGGGCCAAGAGATTTTACTGTATTTTCCTGGCATGGCTCCCAGAGACCTTGGCAAAGAAAAGGGTGCCAAAGAGTTATTCTTCAGAGGCTTTATTCTATTAATGTAGATATTATTCAGTGTACAGTTGTTTAATGGGACAGATGTTATTTAATTAACTGCTATTTTAGAAAAGTGATTTTCCAAAGCAGAAGCAGTGCTATGGGGCAGAGTGTGAGGGGAGAAGTATTGCAGAAGTTTCCTCGTGTTTGCGCTTACCTATTCCAATAGTAACTCTTGGTATAATTAAATCACTGCGGCCCTCACTGTGTTTCCATGGTAGGACAGTCAATGGAGACTCCACAATTCGTCATCTCAATTATGGCCTTCAGAAGACGACCATATTGGTTTGTTTGCATGGAAGTTACCAAACACACAATCTGCACTGAAAAAAAAAATGAAACCTTGTTCTCAGTTATATTATTATCACTTCAGTTTTTAGATCTTCACTTATAAAAGCTATTTGTCTTCTATACTAGCGATACAGATTGCTTATTGAATTAACAAGGACCAAGCAATAAAGATCTGAGAACAATAACAATTTGGAGCCCACCGGACTATAAAAAAATTCCATTTTATCAATCAAATTGTAAGCGTTAAGCTGTCTGTCGCCTAATGAGAAATACCACTGCACTGTGTTTCCCCTCTAAAACCCTGGAATTTTCAAATTAGGAGACAGGTGTATGCTTGAGGCTATGCTATCTACCTTCATGGCTTTAGCCAACATGGCACATTCTGTGGAGAATGATGAGAATTGGCTAGAGGTGAAAGAATGCTCTTTTGGCCAGGCCAGTGCGTCCCAGCCACATCACTCCTCACTAACTGGGAGCCACAGCAGAGCCCTTCTGGTAATCCACTCACTCCTCCACTGGTGAGGACCACTCAGCCAACTGCTTCTCTGGCATGTGTTCTCTTGGCAAGGTCCGTTCAGATGAGTGCAGCCCAAGAGATGTGACCTGGCCCGAGGCTGTAGAAGAAGAAAAGGCAGGACAAGTCATGAGTCACCAACTCTTCCAAAGTGAGGGGATGTTGCAGGCTCTGGCGTTCCTCTGACTTGAGCAGGTAGCCAATTTCCTGGAGCATGATCTTATTTTAAGATTCCTTCTGAATTTTATCACGAATGTTCAGTATCTTAGATGGCAGAGGATCATAAAATCTAACCTTTATTTTGCTGGTGAGAAAATGAAAGACCAGGGAGCATTAACTTCCAGTAATTTCCCAATGGTGCACAGCTTCATAAGCAGCAGCCCCGTCTCTACAAGCATCTGATTCTCAAAATTCTTAGTTGGAGGGCTTCCCTGGTGGCGCAGTGGTTGAGAGTCCGCCTGCCGATGCAGGGGACATGGGTTCGTGCCCCGGTCTGGGAGGATCCCACGTGCTGCGGAGCGGCTGGGCCCGTGAGCCATGGCCACTGGGCCTGCGTGTCCAGAGCCTGTGCTCTGCAACGGGAGAGGGCACAACAGTGAGAGGCCCATGTACCGCAAGAAAAAAAAAAAAATTCTTAGTTGGAGGTTTTTACCAATATGTAAGGGAAATATAATTTTGATGTATAAGCAGAACAGAAACAGCAGAAATGTAATTTTATCTTATCAATGTTAAGAGATTGTGATGGAACGTGTTCCCTTCTGTCCAGCACACAGTAAGCACTGAGAAAGTGTATCACTGTGATGCTACTGCTACTGCTGCTTCCTGGAGTTTTTAGGAAGGTGGGAGGGAGGAAGGAGTCTAAGTATTTCCTCTTCCTTTCAACCTACAATAAGGCCAGGATTAAACTGAGATCTCCACTGAGCACTTATCATTGTTCACTGGACTATAATGAAAAGTATTCACTTTCTAATTTTCCAGGAGACAGCAAACATCATGTTCTGTCATCTCTGAATATTAGCTAACATTCTGGTCTTTGGGAATGATAGTCAAGGATTGAAGTCTGTCATAGCCACTTGGAAAAATATACAATGATTCCAGTCATCTATTTTAGTATAACCTTAAGCACCTGAATAAATGATTGGTATCCAGTATGCATACATCTGGTCACGACCTCCATGCTCCTAATTTCCTTCCCTGTGCTGTACTTTATAAAACACATATAAAATACCAATTTTCATAGTATTTTTCACCATCTGCACTGTGAACACTCAAGGTCAATGGTTCTTGAACTTTGAAGTGCATCACGTTGCTGATACCCACTCCCAGAGTTTCTGACGTGGTAGTACGTATGGGGTAGGGCTCAAGAACGCGCATTCCTAACAACCTCCCACGTGATGCTGGCGCTGCTGACCAGAGGACCACACTTAGAGAACCATCACAGTATTCTGTGGAGATTTTAAACACAGGGGTTGCAGATGTGGGGAATTAGGCACAAGAGGAGAACCATGGAAAGTGGGTAACTTTCATTCATGCTCAAATACAAGAGGAGCGGTTTCTTTTATTTTGGGGGCAATAAAATTTACAGAATACGTTGGTAATTTTTATTACCTCAAAAATCCATTTTATGGGAATCACTTTAAACCTAAATCTGCAGACATGTATATGAGAAGTGTTTGGCTAACGCTGCATCATGCTGTTTAGCGGACAAGGTGCTGCTTAGTAATTCAAGTTAGACACACTCGGATTTGAATGCTGTTTCTACCAATTACCCGTGATGGAACCTTGGAAATATGTTTTAACCTCTCCACCTCATCGATAAAATGAGGGTTATAACAGTGGCCACTGACAGGGTTGTCTAGTGAAATTCTTAGTTCAGTACTTGGCATTGCATGGGAAACAGTAAGCACATTTTAAGTCATGGAATTAGCAAAATAGCCACAGTAATACTCATTGTAACTAGGAAGTAGGCTAGTAATAATGTGAAGAAAATTTACAATTATAAGGAAGATAGTACCCGAATCTAATTTCAGTCTTTGTTATAGTTTTGCCTCCTTATATAATTTTTGCTCTATGTATGACAGTTAGAATTGACTGATTTAGTTTTAAGATTTTCATTTTTAGTATTCTTCATTAGAGTGGCAACACTAGATGGGAGATAAGAAAAAAAACAAAACGGGCAGATATTTTCAAAACTTAGATACCATAAGTCTAATCAATAAGGAATTTATGTGCATGACTTCTTTTGATATGAACAAACAGCTACAGGAGAAAAACACATTCCTTGTGTTATTCACAGTGAAGACTATGGTTCTAAGAACACTTGAAAGCTAAGTGAGTTACACCTGATATCTTATTTCTCTGGTATGGCTATTGAATAACAGTGTCCTAGAACATAAGAATTTTGGCTCTCAGTAAAAATAAGGTTTTATTCTTCCCTAAGTGCAGCCAGGTTTTATTTCTACTAAGTACTAGAGAGTAGGTATTTTACATAGGTAGATTGAAACTCTAGGCTTTATCCTATCAGCCAAGTCAGCAAATACTTTGAGTACTGACCTTTAGGCAGCATTTCAAGTCTCATCCATCTGCAAAGGTGTAAAGCTGAATAGGAAATGGAGTTGCCCCTCAGGCTCTCTGCATAGGAAAGGAATTTTTCATTGTGACCCTATCATTTGTTCATAATAACAGGCTCGCTTCAATATGAACAACGTGTTCATTATGAAAATCAAAAAATGAATGACTTACAAGACACTGTGGATATAAATATTATGCCCTTTTTAACTGACAAGTGAAATGAAGCCAAGAAAGATGAAGTACGTCCCATAGGCCACACAGTCAGTGGCAGAAACATACTTCAAAAGTTTTGATCATGAGTCCCTGTCAACATTCACCTTCCACATCCAGTGCCACTTTTCCTTGTCTTGGCTTCAATGTTGATTAATTTGACTCTTTTGAGAAGGAATTTCTTTAAAGACAGCAGAATTGAAGAGTCCTCAGAAAATGTTCTCTTTTATAAATCTCAATTTAAAATTAAAAGAAGCTGCTATGAAAGCCTGAAAGAAAATGAAACACGATTAATTAAGCTTGTAAACTAACCAAAGAGATATGTAGCCATGTTAATACTGTAATAACCATCATAGCCAATTTGTGAAACTTCAGAATTTATATCACAGAATTACAAATGAGGCGAAAAGAATTACCTCTTTTGCAGTGATTGTGGTGTGTGAAAGGCAGGTACATTCTAAAGATGCTAGAATACAATTTCAACTTCTAGCTAACATCCTGCACACTCAGCCTACAAAGTGCTTTTCAAAAGAATAATTTAAATTGACATGGAAAATGAACACTTCCTCTAATAAAAACTCTATGTTCCAAAGATATTTCCACAGTCTTACTATTAGAATAATGTTCAGGTGACAAGTTTATTTATGCATATATACAAAGGATTCACTGTTAAAATGAACTGAAATTAGAGACAGAACTGAATCTCAACAAAAATGAGCTACTTTTCTATATAGAACTGACATTTCTAGGGATAGGTTCATATTTGTGATATATCTGATACCATCAAACAAAACTCAACCTACAGAATTAGCTATGAACACATAAATTCCCAACCCACTAAGATCTACAGCAATGGCCTTTATCTCTACAGCTAATTCCACATTTCTTCTTATGGTCTTTTGCTTAAATATTGTATTGAATAAGGAACTGTTGACAACAACAGACTAAAAGGAAGTGTTTTAGGGTCAGGTGTGGAAGAGAGGTATTGAACTATTATGATACACTTTACCTAAACACTATTTAGGAGCTGCTTAATAATGTTCGTTCAGCTTTCAGTTAATAGGCTACCTTGGGAAATATCTCATGCGGGAAAGATGCACGAAGGTCTGGATGACAGGGTATCAAGTAGCTTTGTATTTTCCTCCATCATTGGGAAAATGACAACAATGACTGAGAGATCCACAGATTCTCAACCAGCCAGTGATTTTAGAAATCTCTGTATAAGAATGAAAGTTCATCCACACACAAAAGCTATATGTAGAACATCCCTCAAAAGAGTTGCCCTCTCGGTCCAGAGGACCCAAGTACGGTCAGATCTAAGAAATACCACAAAAGCTCCTAAAAACAGAACTCAAGAACAATCTTGAAATATGTCTAAAAAGAGTATGATTCCACTTTCCTGTAGTTTCTACTGGACTCCTATTTGGCCCCATACCCACTCTTACACTTCACTTCCTACTCTGCCTGTGTTCTCCACCCCACGCACAGATGTAAAATACTCTTTCAGAGTCCCTGGTTCTATCTTATTTCCCTGGGTAAAAAAAAAGAAATGGAAAATGGAAGGTGAGTGGGGCAAAGATACTTCAATATGTAGTAGACATATTTTCTACTATGTCTAGTATTACTGTCCATCTAGTATTATTGACATTGAAATGCAGCTGCACAGCATTTCACACACAGCAACTGCAAATTCCCATGTCACTTATGCCCTGTGGGTAGAGAATCATCTTGGTCTTCAAAAGTCTGTGTTTGACGTTTAGCTGCTGTGGACACATTCCATCTAAAAATCTCTTAATTTTACTCATGAAATTGATAACATGTATTACAGTATTTTATGAAATGCTATTATTTAATTGAAGCCAAATTCTGTGGATTTTTTATGTTCTTAAATCTCCTTGTCCCGTAACAAATAAGTTTCTATTTTTCTGAATGCTCTAGCTTTGAGTTCATGGATTCTCTTCACTATATATTTTCTATTGTGGCAGGCTGGCATACTCTCTTTTCCTTAAATAGGTTTTAATACATATTTTTTATGTTCATAATTCCAGCTCTAAGTGGTAAGCAAAGGGAATTTTGAATTAATACACACTTTGAAACCAAGCACTGTACTATTACAAGGTCTCCAGAGATTTACTTGTGCATAACAGTTAACTCTGAAGTAAGGTTAGAAAGGTAAGATAGATTACTGGAAGAAAAATGATTTATTATTTTATTACTTTATCTCTAGTTATATATTTTTAAGCATCCAAATGACATTACTCTCATTATTTCAAAAACTAGCAAGTGGTAAATAATATATTAGGAGCATTTGAGAAATTAAAAAGATCCAGGTGGATAATAATTCTTTAAAAGCTCAATTTAATGCCTCTAGAGCATTTACTTTGGATTAATCAGACAATTTTAATCAGTACATTCAATATACGTTGCTTATTAACACATATTTCTTCAGGATTAACATCCACACTTCACAATTCACATATGTGACATCAGCATTTACAATCTTTCTGATACCCAACTATTACTATTATGTGTAAACTTTACCTAAAAACTCTTGTCTCATGTCAAAGTGCTCACTCTGTTATTAATAGAAATTATGCAGGAATTAGAAATTAGAAAGAAAGAGGTAATAATCTGTGTGTACTTTTACCACAGCTCTTGACACATTTTACTGAAATTGTAA